TGTTTATTGTCTGAAGCGTTTCGTAGATCCTAGTCGAAAAAATGATAACTCCAGTTTTATTTGACACAAATCTTTCATTCAAACAGTAAAATACTCTTTCATTAATAAAAGGATGGTTTATCAAAGTTTCTAAACACATGCCCACTTTCAATTAGAGTTCGTACCCTTTTTCAGAAACAAATTTCCAGGACTTTTCCAGGACTTTTCCAGGACTCAGATTGATTTTTCCAGGACTCTAAAATTCACATTAACCCTTTCACTCCCATTATCTTAATGTTAATTCTCCTTACTGTCTGCAATACATTACATGTTTTTTTACTTGAGCTTAAGAGATTTCCAGGACTTTCCAGGACCAGTAGCCCTTTTCCAGGACTTTCCAATCTTGGAAAATGCCACAATAAAATTTCAGGACTTTCCAGGTTTTCCAGCACCCATACAAACCCTGTTAATTAATTTTTCTTCAAGGGAAAGCTTGGTGTTTCAGCACGCGTCGGCAAGTCGCTTAATTGAACCAAGTTTACTCTCTATCGGAAAATGTTATCTGTCAGTTGTGTTTGGTCTATGAAGATGGGATTGTTGAAGCAATTATCCCCGGTTCTTCTTGACAGAAAGCAGTATTTTTTATTCAATGGCCAATGTTAAGTAAAAAGGTTTTACAAGCAGCCCATATTGCACAGGGTAAAAAGCCATGGCTGGTTTTTTAAGTTTTACAAATATGATCGGCCATCGATCAACTGAGCCCATTATGGCAACATGGCGTGGGGAAAGAGAGATTGGGGAGAGTGAAATGAACAATTACAAAAGACACAAGCCTATAACAAACACCCATCATCCATGCCATCCTAGATCAAAGGTGACATTATTTTTATTCCTCTGGCAATTTGTAAATACATTTCAGACCTTTTTGAAAAGAGTATTTCGGAAAGTGGTGAACTGACAATTATAAGCATTGGCGAACTGATCCAGGACATTGGCAAATCAACTTCATCAATAATTCACTGGGCAAAAACGATTAATCGCTAGGCTGTATTGATATTTCATTGGGTGAAAATAATATATCACCTGCAACAAATGATAAATCGCTTGGTGGAAACAATAAATCGCTTGCTGCAAACAAAATGTTGCTTGGTGCAAACCATATATCGCTCGGTTCAAATGATAAATCACTTGGTGCAAACGATTAATCACTCGGTGCAAATGATAAATCACTTGGTGCAAACGATTAACCGCTCTGGGCAAATGATAAATCACTTGGTACAAACGATTTATCACTTGGTGCAAATGAAAAATCACTCGGTGCAAACAAATAATCACTTGGTGCAAACGATAAATCACTTGGCGCAAACGATTAATCACTCGGTGCAAATGATAAATCACTTGGTGCAAACGATTAATCACTCGGTGCAAATGATAAATCACTTGGTGCAAACGATTAATCACTCGGTGCAAATGATTAATCACTTGGTGCAAATGATAAATTGCTTGGTGCAAATGATAAATCACTTGGTGCAAATGATAAATCACTCGGTACAAACGATTAATCACTCGGTGCAAACGATTAATCACTTGGTGCAAATGATAAATCACTTGGTGCAAATGATAAATTGTTTGGTGCAAACGATTAATCGCTCGGTGCAAATGATTGTTGGTGTAAACAATATATCGCACAAGACTCAGTGAAATATCGTAACAGCTACAACAATAGCTCCACGATATCTCCGCGATATATCATTTCAAGCTAATCATCGTTCAAATATCGCCGATAAATCGAAATTATTGCGATATTCATTGATTGTCATTTGCATTAGTTTTGCACAATACTGTACAATTACCGTATACAGACATACACTTCTAAAGAAAACCAATAATCACATAAACTACTGAATGCGCATATCAGAATTTTGTTTTCATAATTTTCTTACCTAGAGAAGTTCTGCAGTCGTGGAGTTGTTTTCAAATCCGTTGAAAATGGCACAGTGTCAATCGGTCACCAAGG